CGTGTGAGGCAGCGATGTCGACAGCGAGGGCAGGGGCTGCAACGGCGACGACGGCGGCAGCGTCGACAGCGGCGGCGGCGGCAGTGTGCGGCCACGTGGCCAGCGGCACTAGCTGCGGCGGCGGCGGCTTCGACGACAAGGCAGCGGCGGCGGAGCTCGCAGCACTCGGCAGCGTGGCCGGGCTCCGCGACAGTGGGATGGCCGGCGCGAGTCAGCCGTCGGCTGCGGCGAGGAAGAGGGGACGCATGGGAAGGGGGTAGGGCTTCAGCAGCGGAGCCCGGGAGCGTGCCGCCCCGTGTGGCGCGTTGGCTGCATGTGGGCGTGCTGGCCAGTGCTAAGACCAGGCGCTGGCCACTGCCGTCCGTGCCGTTCGCGCGCTGGCGCGTAGAAGCCACTGTTAGAATAGCAGAATGACTAGAAACAAGTGAGAACAAGGGAGATATAGGGTTGGAGTTGTACCCTCTAAGAACACAAACCTATCTAGCCTATAACTTCTACATACTAACATATGCATCAGTTGACACACCCCCTAGGCTAGATAAGCGGCAGCGCTGAGCAAGAAACACGCAGCTCAGGGTGTCACTACTTGTCCAACCTCTGAGACACGGGTCCGAAGACCAGTCAGCAAGAGTACAAACAAGAAAAGAGCAAACCAGGGTGGCACTACTAGTCCGGCCACTAGAAGTGAAGCCACAAGGCCAGTCAGAAAGGTATATATAAAGAGGAGTACAAAAAAAAGGTCCTAGCAAGTGAGTAGCTACAGAAACTAGACGAAGCTTCAAACAGTGCCGCTGATGATCTTTAGCCAAAAGCGCCTTAGTAAAGATATCAGCTGTGTTGGAACCGGAGGCCAAGTGTACTACGCGGGCCTGGCGACGCTGCTGTAGCTCGCGCATGAGGAAGTACCGCAGCTGGATGTGCTTCGCTCTGCCCTCAAAGTTGAGGCTCTTGACACAAGAGGATCATGGCCCTGTTGTCAGCGCACAGAACCGGGGCAGAGCTAGGCCACTCACCTAAGTTGGTGAGCAAGAAGGTCAGCCAATGGAGCTCCTGTGCCGCCATGGCACCAGCGTAGATCTCAGCCACACAGCTAGACAGGGCAACTGACGAGGAGCGGATGGACCTCCACGAGATGGCACCCGAATCAAGGCTAAAGCAGTAGCCCTGGGAGGACCTAAGGGTCTCAGCGTCGTCTGCCCAAGAAGCGTTTGTGTGCCCAGTAAGGACCACTGGCCTGCGTCCTCCCAGCACTAGCCCCATGCCCGATGTACTTGCTAGATAACGCAAAACCCTCTTAGTGCTCGACCAGTGCTGTTGTCAGTGTCTGCCTATGACCACAAAGCAAGCCAGGATGCTGAGAGGGTATGCGAGATCTGGACGAGTGCAAGTCATCAGGTACATGAGGCAACCCACCAGCTCTGCGTAAGGACCACTAGGCTCTACAGACTCCTCAGGGATAGGAGCCGAGAGCCTGTGATCTACTGGCAGATGTGTGGGCTGTGTGGAGGAGAACTGAAGACCAAACCTCTGAAGGACCTAGCGCACCAAGTGTGACTGTGTGAGAGTGATGGTGCGTGCTGCTCTGTCCCTAAAGATCTGCAAGCCAAGGTGGCGGCGCAACTCTTCTAGGTCAGTGTAGGTGTGTCTCCTCAGCAGCTCGGCCTTCACGGAGGCCAGTGCGTCTCTGTCTGCAGTAGCAAAGACCAGGTCATCTACGTCGACAAGGATGTAGAACGGAGCCTAGCCAGCATGATTGAAGAGCGAGGGGTATGCAGAGGATGGAAAGAACTGCAGGTTAGCTAGCGTAGCACGCAGCATGTCGTGCCACTCACATGGCGCCTGTCGCAGGCCGTAGACCGGGCGCGGGAGGAGCCACTGGGTCCAAGGAGGGGAGATACCGGTGAAGGCTAATGGACGGCGAAGGTAGACCTGCTCGTGTAGGCTGCCCAGAAGAAAAGCAGTGGAGAAGTCGAGAGAGTGCAGCTCGTAGTCATGCTGTGTTGCTACCTGTAGCAGCGCTCGAAGAGTAGTCATCTTCGGGGTTGGGGCGAAGGTCTGTCCACACCCTCGCACTGACTGAAGCCTCTAGCTACATAGCACGGCTTGAACACAAGCGGCTCTCTAGGTGGGGGCTTTACCTTGAAGAGCCACCGGCCATCGACTACGTTCACCCCAGATTGGGGAACTGCGTCGACGTAGGTGCCGGTGGATCTCCAAGATGCCATTTCCTGCTCCATGGCAGCTATCCACTAAGAGGCCCAGGGTCCCAAGGTCGCCTCAGCGTAAGTGCAAAGGGTCGGGATGTCAAAGGCGTCTGGTTCACCCTCAGGGACTAGCAGCATGGAACAGAGATGGGAAGCAGCCTCGGACAGGAAAGCAAGCTCGTACTGCCTATCCTCTAGGACGTCACTGCCAAGGGCAGGAGCACCCTTGACGGACGGAGGATAGACAGGGTCAGAGACCAGAGCTGTGGCGGAGTCAAGGCGGCGGGTAGAGGCAAAGTCAGCGATAGCAGCGACAAGAGCGTCAAGACTGGAGACAGGAACAGGCGGATCGGTAACGAGGGAGGCAAGGACCCGAAGGTAGTCAGACAGAGTGGGAGGCGCGACAACAAGCAACGACGGAGGAGGGAAAGGCGGGAGGGGAGGACGAGACGAGGGGGAACGAAGCAACATAGGGTGAGAATGCTGAACTAGAGAGACAGGATGACCACGAGAGGGACGGGAAGACCAGACGTGAGACGGAGGCATCTGGTCGGGAGACAGAGGAGGAGACACAAGAGGGGAACGAGGGGGAAGACGAGCCGGAGACAAGTCCGGTGGAGGGAACACAGGGTTGTAGACAGGAAGAGGAGGAGGGGCCGGGGGAGGAGCAGGCGAGCGGTTAGGGGAGGGAAGGCCGAGCAGGAGAAGGGCGGACACCGGCGGCGACTGCTGCTGCTGCTGCTCGACGACGACACCTTGATCACCAGCTACACCACAGCAACCTCCGGAACACTCCACTCCAACACCCACAAAACGAGAACCCCTAGAGTGAGAACCCTCTCCAGCACCATTGCCACTCCCAGGCCCGCCGGGATAAGCCTCGACAGGCACCCCAGGACTAGCACCCTCCTCAACGCAGCACCCCCAAAGTCCACGAACGGCTGCTGCTGCGGCGACGGTGCTAGCTGTGCCGGTGGCGGCTGGTGCTGCTGCGGCAGCGACGACGGCTTCCCTGGCGGTGATTGCGACGGCGGAGAAGGAGACACCGAGGGAGAGGCGGGCGGCGAGAACTGCGCCGCGGGTCCAACAGAGTCAGCGGACTCCTCGACCGGGACAACTGACGGGAGGGGAGTGTCGTGAGACACATCAGACATAGCAAGACGGGGAGCGAGGGGAGCAGGGGCTACAGGGGGAGTGGGAACCAAAAACAGGGGTGGGGAAACCGGGAGACCTCGGTGGGGAAAGCGGTGGTAAAAGAAGACAGACTCGTCGAAAGTGGTGTCATGAGAGTGAAAGAAGCGGTGAGACGGCGGGTGGTAAAAGTGCCAGTCAGAGGAGTCCAGGGGAAACCGAGGAAGATACAGGGGACAGTGCGGGCAGTGAGCTTGTGCGTGCCAGAGGCACAAACGTGAGCGAGGCAGCCCCAGACGTGGAACGCGGACGCGTCACCAGAGAACCCGGTCCAAAGAAGGGTCGGCAAAACCTGCGGCCACTGAGAACACGGCAAGAGGTTAAGCTGGTGAGCGGCGTAGCGAACGGCGAGCGGCCACAAAAAATGGGGTGCATTGGCATGAATCATGGAGGTAAGAGCCACCTCCATGACCAAGCTGATGTGTTGCTCAACGACCCCATTCTGCTGCGGGGAGTCCGGTAGGGTGTATGACTGGGTGATGCCCTCCGCACGACAGAAATGTCCAAGCCGACCAGAGGCGAACTCGCCGCCACGATCGGAGTGGAGACATAGCAGAGGGAGACTGTGGTGGAGACATGCAGCTACGATCAATGGGATATGAACGTCAGGCACGTTGGCCTTCCGCTCCAGGGGAAACACTGTTGTGTGATGTCATCATATGCTATCACATTCTGTCTGCCTCCCATCCCATATTTTTTCAACTTGCATGTGTGGTTTGAACGTGTGCAAGAATTTGTGTGTGATGTGTTCTGGAGTTTGGGAATGTGTTTTGTGTTATTTTGTTTGAGCAGGTTTTTTGTGATGATAGATCTTGAGAAGATCTTTCCGACGCAACGAGAATCCCTTCAATCGGAGCAAGAACGCGAAAGCTATGAAGATTCAAAGTTCATGAGCTTGCGTTACAATTGCGGCGGTTACAAAGTGAAGTTGTGGGGTGACTCTATATGGAGTTGGGACCTTTGGGGGTTTGGGAAATTTGTCACTCACTGTAACAGCTGCAAATTGGTTGGGAACAACCAAGCTAGGTTGGCAAGGGTGGCCAACTTGGATGGATTGGTTGGGAAGGGACAAATGTCAAAGTTGGGGTTCCTATAGGGAGGGAATCTTTGTGCTTATGGGGTTTCCTTGGTTGGGGACTCTCTTGGGACCTTCCCTCTCATCCCTCTCTTCCTATCCCAACCTTTCTCTTGCTCCTTCTAATTCCTTGTGAGATTCTTGAACTTTGATTGAACTCTTGAGATTGAGTTAAGTTCTCCTCCTACAGCTTACCCCCTAGTGCGTCGAAAGCCATAGCGTCGCGAATACTTCATCAATCAACGTGATTCAAATTGGGAACGGTAGCTGAGATCAAGAGCTACAACATATCCAAGTTTCGCGACATTCCAACGGCTAGTGTTTTGTCGACGTCGTTTCTTGTGAAGACGACTTTTCTGTCCAGAATTTCGGATTTATATTTTGAGTAATTCTAGCTCCTAAGTTCACCTAGACTCTGTCCTTAATCCTAACAAGTGGTATCAGAGCGATATTAAGGACATTGAGAGGAGTCTACAGAAGTGTGAAGACCCTTCTAGACCCACCATGGCCTGTGGGTGTGCCTAAGTGGTGTTCTAAAGGTTGGATGTGTCTTCCGCTAAGGGGAAACTCTGCCGAAATTTCGTGGACGCCGACACTTGTGAAAATATCGAGGGAGCTGCGTGTGGACAGCAAAGGGGAGCTGAAATTCGTCATTTCTCAAGGAGAAGATGAATGAGAGAGGAGGAGATGCTAATGGAAGAGGAGCTGTAGCTGAGAAGACAAGTGAGCCGCCGCCATCAAAAGTTGAAGCTTTGGATGGCTCCAACTATGAGGAATGGAGCGGACGGATGAGGAGTGCCTTCAAACGCTACAAGCTCCTGAAGATTGCTGTTGGGGAAGAGAAGATGCCGGAAGAAGGCGAAGCACGTGAACGGTGGATTGAGAAAAGCGCGGTGCTTTTCGACCTCATTCTTCAATCGGTCAACAAGGAGATGTTCGAGCACATCAAGGATCTTGTGGAAGCGGATGATTCGGGTCCAAGGGCGTGGAAACTACTACGTGATGTGGTTCAGCCCAACACTCTCCCGATGGTGATCGTGCTCGAGAAGGAACTTGCTGCCATCTCCATGCGACCAGGGGACGATGTGAAGCCGGTCCTTGACAAGATCAAGGACACCTATGCAAGGATGGCAGCAGCGGGCAGCAGTGTATCTCAGCTGCAGCAGTGCACCAAGATCATCTCGGTGTTGGACAACTCTTGGGACAACCTCATCCCCACCCTCAACTCTCAGCAAGATCAATGGACACCTGAGTGGCTAAGGCAGCAGATTCTGCAGGAGGACTTCCGCAGACGCCATGTGGGAGGCGGTGCTGCCACTAAGACTGCTGAGGGGTATGGAGCTGCAGGGCGCAGCAGAGGAAGAGGGGGTTGGAAAGGCCGAGGCCGTGGGAGGAGCTTTGGCAGAGGTAGAGGCCGAGGTGACTATAATGAGGGGCATGGGAGCTCTAGTGGCAGGGGGAGTACCAGAATGGAGGGCACGTGCTGGTACTGCAAGAAGGTTGGGCATCCTTGGTTCAAGTGCTTCAGCAGGCTGGAGGGATGGGCACCTCCAGGCATGAAGCCGCCCAGTGGTGAACGCGCACAAGGTGGCGCTGTGCAAGGCTCAGGTGCACAAGGTGAAGGTGCACAAGGTAATGCCTATCCTGGTTTGTTTGTTATGGTTGAGGATGTGCATGGGCATGAGGGTGATGTGGGATCTGTGGGAAAGGTTGTGATGCACCCTCTCACGCACTGGGTGATTGATTCGGGTTGCACCAGTCACATGACTCCACGGGCAGATTTGCTTGATGAGGTAAAACCCCCTGGGAAGATTAAGTATGTGGCAGCAGCGTCAGGTGCTTTGCTCCCCGTGATTGGTGTTGGGAATGCCAAGGTTAAGGGAGCTAATGGGGAGCTTGTGGGGCTTGGGAATGTTCTGCTGGTTGAAGGCTTGTCTGCTAACCTTCTCTCTGTGCGACGACTGCAGAAGAGCAAGGCCGAAGTGACCTTTGGACCAACCAGCTGCCGTGCTAAGCTTGGGAAGAAGGTGCTGTGGAGTCTGGAAGAGGAGACCAGCTGCATCAAGGACCTGTGGCAGCTGCCCATCATCCCATGGAATGGGAAGACTCCAACAGCAGCAACGGCAGCAGCGGCAAAGGCAACAGCAGGAAGAGATGCAACTGCACCAACTGATGGGGTCCTGGAAGCAGTCAAGAAAGTGCAGCAGCAGCAGACACATGGCGAGGTGCTTGCTGGTGTGGATGCGAGTGCGGCATGGGCTAAGGCTTCATCAAGGAGTGGAGAGGCCGATTGGGAGACATGGCATGAGAGGCTGTGTCATGTGAACTTCCCTATGCTGCAGAAGTTGGTGAAGAATGGGAGCCTGAAGGGCTTGGAGGTGAAAGGGGAAGTGAAGGAGATTGGGAGCTGCCCTACATGCTTGGAGACCAAGTTCTCCAAGTTCCCCTTCAACAGCACTACAGGACCAGCCAAGACCCCACTTGCACTTGTGCACATGGATGTGGTGGGGCCCACAAGAGCGCCTTCCCTCTCAGGCAGCCGCTATTTCTTGACAATTGTGGATGACCACACTCGGGCAGTGTGGGTTTACCCTTTGAAGAGCAAGGGGGAGGTGGCAGCGGCTGTCCTTAAGGAGTGGATGCCTAGAGCTCAGAGGGAATGCGGATACAAGGTGAAGGTGATCCGCAGTGACAATGGTGGGGAGTTCATTGGAGCTGATTTTGAGGGGGAGTTGAAGAGGAAGGGGATCCAGCATCAACTGACAGTGCCCTACAACCCGCAGCAGAATGGCGTGGCTGAGAGGTTCAACAGGACCCTGCAGGAGGGGGCACGCACTCTCCTTGGGCGTGCAGGGCTGCCTGATCCGTTTTGGGTGTCTGCACTGAGGCAGGTCGCCCTTGTGAAGAACAGGGTGCTGGCTACAGTTGGAGATAAGGAGTGGATCCCATATGTCAAGTGGTATGGGAGTGCTCCAGCTGTGAACATGCTGAGGGCATTTGGGTGCATGGTGGTGTTTCATGTGCCTAAGGAGAAAAGGGGGAAGTTGGAGGCTTCTGGAAGATGGGGTGTGCACTTGGGGATTGCAAAGGATCACAAGGGGTGGCTGCTATGGGACTTGACCACCCAGAAGTTGACAGTGTCAAGGGATGTGAAGTTTCTTGAGTCCCTGTACTACAAGGAATGGAAGCAGCAGCAACAGAAGCTTCCATCTACACCGCTCATTGTGGAGGCAGATGAGGTGCAGCACCCTTCAAGACAGGTGGAGGTTGCAGTGTCAGAGGAGGAGATGTCTGGGGTGACTGAGGAAGGGGGAGCAGCTGAAGTAGAGCAGCAGCAGCAGCAGCATGAGTCTCCACCTCGAGTTCCACACCCGCCTGAGCGTCCTAGGAGGGATGTGCGCCCTCCAGTGAGGCTGACCTATGGGGGAAGAGGCAAGCCAAATGTGGTGCAGGCTGGGAGTGTGGTTGAGCAGATTGAGGAAGATGAGATCGCTCACTGCTACTGGGCACCAATCCCTGAGCCCAAGACTCGAGAGGAGGCTTTGAATGGACCAAATGGGGAGAAGTGGAAGGCGAGTGAGGATGAGGAGTTCGGGTCCCTAATTGAGAACGAGACATGGGACCTGTGTGACTTGCCTCCTGGAAAGAAGGCAATCACTTCCAAGATGATCTACAGGCACAAGTATGGACCTGAAGGGGAGCTGACCCGCTACAAGTCCAGGCTTGTGGCAAGGGGGTTTCAGCAGACAAAAGGGAAGGACTATGATGAGGTGTTTGCTCCTGTGGGGAAAGGAACAACACTGAGGGTGCTGTTAGCGATAGCTGCACTCCTGGGATGGAAGATACGGCAGATGGACATTGTGACTGCTTTTCTGAATGGGATCATTATGGAGGAGGTGTACATGAAGCAGCCAGAGGGGCTGGATGACGGGAGCGGCAGGGTCTGCAGGCTGAAGAAGGCCATCTATGGCCTTAAGCAGGCGCCTCGTGCATGGTATCACAAGTTGGAGGAGGCGCTGTTGGCTGGGGGTTTCAAGAAGAGTGAGTGTGACCCCAGCCTGTTCCTGCTGCAGGAGAAGGATGAAATCCTCATGCTCTTGGTGTATGTGGATGATATCCTTCTCTTTTCTGCATCAACTGCTTTGCTGGACAGCGCAGAGCAGATGCTGGAGATGCAGTTCAAGTGCTCCAAGATGGGTGAGGTGAAGTACTACTTGGGGATGCACGTGGAGAGAGATGTGGAAAAGGGTGTGCTGAGGTTGCACCAGAGGAAGTACTGTGAGGGGCTGGCTGAGAAGTATGGGCTGCAAGATGGGGGAAAGCCAGCAACACCACTACCTTCAGGGTTTACTGTGGAGCCATGTGCTGATGAGGAGGTAGTGGGTGATAGTGACAGGAAGCTGTTTCATTCGATGGTTGGGTCGCTGAATTATGCTGCAAATCATACACGGCCTGACATTGCATTTGCTACATCACGATTGGCTAGTGTGGTCTCACGCCCTAGTCATGAGCAGCTGGAAGCGGCCAAGAGGTTGGTCCGCTATGTGAGCGCTACGGCATCAGTGGGATTGGAGTACAGTGGAGTGAGGCAGCGGTTGCAGAGAGGTGCTGCAGATGTGAAGAGTGGAGAGATGCTCTTGAGTTGCTATACTGACGCTAGCTTCAACTCAGTGAAAGCGGATGGCACCAGCATTGGGGGTTATGTGTGCTTGCTAGGAGGTGGTGCTGTGAGCTGGCGCAGCAAGAAGCAGAATGAGGTGGGATTGTCCTCATGTGAGACTGAGTACATGGCCTTACACCATGGGGCCAAGGAAGTAGTGTGGCTAAGGCGTTTGTTGGAGGAGTTGGGAGTTGGTCAGGAGAAGCCGACAGTTGTGTTTTGTGACAATGAGTCCGCTGTGAAGCTCGCCAAGAATGCTTGTCTGCATGGGCTGACAAAACACATAAGGCCTAAGTGGCATTGGGTGAGGAGACTCCTTGATAAGGAGGTGCGGCTGGAGATAGTGAAGACCCATCAGCAGGCAGCAGATATTTTCACCAAGCGTCTGGCGGAGGCGGATCATTGGAAGGGCATGAAGCTTGCTGGGATGAGTGTGCATTGAGTATGCATGCTTGAGATGTTGGTATGGTGGATGATGGTTGGCAGCCAGAGGGGGAGATTGTTGTGTGATGTCATCATATGCTATCACATTCTGTCTGCCTCCCATCCCATATTTTTTCAACTTGCATGTGTGGTTTGAACGTGTGCAAGAATTTGTGTGTGATGTGTTCTGGAGTTTGGGAATGTGTTTTGTGTTATTTTGTTTGAGCAGGTTTTTTGTGATGATAGATCTTGAGAAGATCTTTCCGACGCAACGAGAATCCCTTCAATCGGAGCAAGAACGCGAAAGCTATGAAGATTCAAAGTTCATGAGCTTGCGTTACAATTGCGGCGGTTACAAAGTGAAGTTGTGGGGTGACTCTATATGGAGTTGGGACCTTTGGGGGTTTGGGAAATTTGTCACTCACTGTAACAGCTGCAAATTGGTTGGGAACAACCAAGCTAGGTTGGCAAGGGTGGCCAACTTGGATGGATTGGTTGGGAAGGGACAAATGTCAAAGTTGGGGTTCCTATAGGGAGGGAATCTTTGTGCTTATGGGGTTTCCTTGGTTGGGGACTCTCTTGGGACCTTCCCTCTCATCCCTCTCTTCCTATCCCAACCTTTCTCTTGCTCCTTCTAATTCCTTGTGAGATTCTTGAACTTTGATTGAACTCTTGAGATTGAGTTAAGTTCTCCTCCTACAGCTTACCCCCTAGTGCGTCGAAAGCCATAGCGTCGCGAATACTTCATCAATCAACGTGATTCAAATTGGGAACGGTAGCTGAGATCAAGAGCTACAACATATCCAAGTTTCGCGACATTCCAACGGCTAGTGTTTTGTCGACGTCGTTTCTTGTGAAGACGACTTTTCTGTCCAGAATTTCGGATTTATATTTTGAGTAATTCTAGCTCCTAAGTTCACCTAGACTCTGTCCTTAATCCTAACAAACACCGTCGTGTAGCGCGTGTAGTCGTTGACGAGCACGAGAAAGTAGCGCTCGCGACGTGGTCGAGGGATGGGGGTTGGGCCCCAGACATCCAGGTGCAGGGTCTGGAGTGGTGCGGTGGCAGGGCGAAGCGAGGAGGAGTGAGGAGCACGGCGCAGCCGGCCATCGACGCAGGGCGTGCATGGTGGCGCAGGCGAGGGAGGGAGGGCAGGAAGCGACGCAAGGAGACCTAGAATGAGACCGTAATGAGACATGTGACGCAGACGCCGGAGTGCGGGGTGACCTAGGCGGTGGTCCCATTGAAGCAACGGGTGAGTGAGTGACCGACACGAGCAAGCTGCAGTGACCAGAGTAGATGCAGGACCTCGGGAGGATGCACCAACCGGGGGGGAAGCAGTGTCCAGCGTAAGCAGGACAGACACCAGGTCTTGGGGAAACGTCGCAAGGGGGGAACCTGAGGCAGCCTTGGTACAGACAACGTACCGCTCGTGACCAGGGAACGTAGTGGTGACGCCGAGGTCCTGAAGACAGCCGTCACCAACTAAGTTCCTGGAGAACGAAGGGATGTGCAGGCCTGTAAGGGAACCCGAGGGGACCGCTGGACAGGGAAGGGTAGTGTAGATGCGAGCAACGATAGGACCAGAAGAGGGGTCAGCAAGTGCGACAGCGGCAGGCGCGGCAAGCGGCTTGAGTGTGGCGTGGTCACGGAAGAAGCAGGCAAACGCACCGGAGACAAGTGTGAAGGACAGCGAAGCAGTAGCAGTACACGAAGGAGGAGCGAGTGTGGAGCCTAGGTTAGACAAAGCAAACGGTCCTACGCCTGACGCAGCAGGGGAGTATGTACTACACACATGTGCTATGCCTAAGTTAGAGAACACAAGGTTATAAGATCTGGACACCCTAGAAGCATCAGCATACGGAAAATGAAGGGCATAAAAAATCTGATCCATGTCTAACTCAAAAACAGGCACACCGTGGCGCAGCAGACTAGGCTAGTCAGGGAGGTCCGGGGCCGGGCCGAAGCGGCGACGAAAGAGGTCGTCAAGGCGGCGGAAGCAGCGGGCGGTCGGGTGCGGGCGGTGGCACACAGAGGCAGGGTTAGCTGCAGCGACCGCGACGGAAACATCATCGTAGGTGCACTGGGAGGGAGCACAGCCCTGAAAGATAGGGACTACCGCAACACCGCTTGACTGAGGGATAGTGCGCTGGCGAGTCTCTATCTCAGACAGGGCAGTGACAAAGGCGGTCAAGGTGAGGTCACCAGGGTGCTGGCTAAGGAAGTGGTCGCAGGTGGTCGTAGAAGCGGATAGGCAGGCGCAAGGCAATAAGGTACAGGGTAGCGCATAACGGTGGGGGGAAGGCAATGAGTTAGGCGGCAGTGCTAGCAGCGCGGTAGCTTGACTCTAGTGCACAAAGGTGAGTGGCGAGTTCAGCGACAGTGGGAAAAGCAGCAAGATCTGGGAACAACATGGGGAGGATCAGGCAACCAGCAGAAGCGGAGGCGGGCGTACAGTAGCGATCAACTACTGCATCTAGAAAATCCTTGGTGTTCACGACAGCAGTAAAGCACGGACGCTCAGACAGGGGAAGAGCATGACTAATGGCAAGCTACGCTACAGCATCGCGGGAATCCCAGACAACGCGAGCGAGCGCAGTAGCAGAAAAGGCCTCACGCTCAGCAGTGGTGGGATCAGCAGGGAGGGGATCAGGTGCGGGGGGGCAGGGAAGCAAGCTATCAACATGCATAGCCAGGGAGTGCCCATCCTGGTGCTGACCTGTGAGGTGACGGCGTAGATCGACAAGCCAGGCGGCGAAGTCGATCGCGTGCCCTTGCGCATCTAGGCGGAGTACGGCGTCCACCATCGTACAACCTCAGCATCACAGCTCCACGGCGGTACAGCGATACGGCGGCATAGCGGCACGGCGGCACAGCGGCACATCGAGATGGCGGCTTAGCGGCACGGCAGCACAGCGACACGGCGGCACAGTGGCACATGTACTCAGCGGCACAGTGGCACAGCGGCGTGGCGGCAGGTCTCTCTGGCTAGAATTATGGGCAGGAAGGCTGAGCAGAGTGCACCGAGCCCGAGGCGCACAGCAGGCCGGTGATGGGCGATAAGCCGGCAGGGCGCAAAGTCCGGTGGAGCGCTGGGGCCATGTAGGGCGCTAGGGCCAATGGGCGCTCGAGGGGCTGGCAGGGCATCTAGGGCTGGCGGGGCGCGAAGGGCCGGCAAGGCGCTAAGGGCCGGCTAGGCGCTAAGGGCCGGCGAGGCGCGAAGGGTCGGCGAGGTGCTAAGGGCCGGCTAGGCGCTAAGGGCCGGCGAAACGCGAAGGGGCCGGAGAGGTACGCGAGAAGCCGGCGTACGTGCGAAGGGCCGGCGAGGTGCGCGAGGGGCCAGGCGGGTGCACGAGGGGCCAGCAAGCACGCGAGGGGCCGGCGAGCACGCGAGGGGCCGGCGAGGCGCGAAGGGCTGGCAAGGCGCGCGCGAGAGGGACGGGGGAGTTTTGGCAGGCGGGTACGCGAGGGGCCGGCGTGGTGCGCAAGGGGCCGGCAAGCACGTGAGGGGCCGGCGAGGTGCGAAGGGCCGGCGAGACGCGCAAGGGGCTGGCGGGGTACGCGAGGCACCGGCGAGCACCCGGGGAGGGCCGGTGAGGTGCTATGGGCCGGCGGGGCGCTAAGGGCCGGCAAGGCGCGCTAGGGGCTGGCGGGGTACGCGAGGGGTGGGCGCGGCGCTAGGGTACGACGGGGTGGTAGGCTAGGGCGAGGGGCGGAAGCGGGTGAGCGGACCTAACCTACAATGATACCATGTTAGAATAGCAGAATGACTAGAAATAAGTGAGAACAAGGGAGATATAGGGTTGGAGTTTTACCCTTGAAGAACACAAACCTATATAGCCTATAACTTCTACGTACAAATATATGGATAAGTTGACAGCCGCCACGGCAGCACGGCGGCGCCGTCATGGCAGCATGACATGGCCGTGGCGGCGGCGCGGAAAGGACTGGAGGGAGGAGCGGACTTTGCGGAAGCGTGATGAGCAGGCTTGAGCAACGGACCTACTCTGATACCATGTTGAACAAAGCTAGGTAGCTAGGGAAGCCATGGAAATGGCGTGAGGTTTTAGGCTAGAAGAGAATTGACAAGAGAGAAGAGGGCTTGGACTAGTAGAGAGAGGGATATAAGAAGGAGGGTTGTACCTGTCAAATATATTTGTATATGTTATAATAGGCTAGATAGGTGCATGCTCTTAGAGGGTACAACCACTTGAACAAAATCAACCTGTTTGCCTCAGTCTAGTTAGTTTTTCTACTCTGAGATGGTATCACGCGCTAGGTTAGGTCCTCCCCGCCCACCCGCGCTTCCGCTCTCATCCTAGCCTTAGCTGCCCGTTCCTAGCCGCCCCTTTAGCAGCGGTCGGCGGTGTGGCCAGGCAGGAGGCGGATAGTGCTGCGGCGAGGGCCGGTCTGAAGCTGGTACTGGCACGTGACAGCGCTGGAGCGGCCACCCAACACCGAGCTGCGCCCGCCTCCCCCACGACCACCGCCGCTAGCGCCGCCAGTCCACCACGGCGGCGGGGGTTCCCAAGGCGACTGCTGCTGCTGCGACAACTGCTGCGGCGGCTGCGGCTGCTGAGGCTGCGTCTGCTGCTACGGCTGCTCCAGGGCACCAGCCCCGGTCCCCTCATCTGACCCACCGTCCCTGCCCTCACCGCCGCCACCCTCCCCACCGCCACCCCCCTTCCCCCACCACGCCCCTCTTTGAGGCGGCGATCCTTACCCGGACGCTTCTGTGCTGAGGTCGCAGCATCTGTCTCAGCAACACCAACAGAGACGTCAGAGTAAGTGCACTGGGAGGGAGCACAACCCTGAAAGATAGGCACCACCGCAGTACTGCTAGACTAAGCGATACTTCGCTGGCGGGTCTCTATCTCAGACAGGGCGGTGACAAAGGCGGTAAGAGTGAGGTCACCCGGGTGCTGACTAAGGAAGTGGTCGCGGGCTGTGGCTAGGCAGTCAGGGAGGCGTGTGGCGATGAGATAAAGGGTAGCGCAGAACAGCGGCGGGAAGGCAGGGAGCTGTGCCTCAGTGCTAGCAGCGCGGTAGCTTGTCTCAAGCACGCGGAGGTGCGTGGCAAAGTCGGCGACAGTGGGGAAGGACGCAAGATCAGGGAACAGCATGGGAAGGATCAGGCGACTAGCAGAGGCAGCGGCGGGGATGGAATAGCGCGCAATGACAACATCTAAGAAAGCATGGGCGTTCGCTACAGTGGTAAAGCGAGGACGCTCAGACAGCGAGAGCGCATGACTGATAACAAGATGATATCGCGACGTCGCGCGAGTCCTAGACGGCACGAGCAAGCGTAGTAGCGGAAAAGGCCTCACGCTCAGCAGTGGTGGGGGCATCGAGGAGGGCAGCAGGCGCAGGAGGGCAAGGAAGCAGGCCATCGATATGAACAGCCAGGGAGTGACCGTCCTGGTGCTGACCTGTAAGGTGATGCCGAAGGTTGACCAGCCACGCCTCGAAGTCGAGCGCCCGACCTTATGCATCCATACGGAGCTGTGACTCCGCCATCGCCACTGCTGTAGCTGCTGACGGCCGCTGACAGAGTGAGGAGGATAGATGGAGGAAGCAGTGGAGAGCAGTGGAGTGTGATGGAGAGCGGTGGAGTGCGGTGTAGAGTAGTGGAGTGCGGTGTAGTGCGGTGGAGTGCAGTGGAGTGCGGTATAGTGCGGTGT